CCTTTTCTGCATAGCTCATTTTACTTAAAAGCATTCACTTTAAAATTTTCAATTTTTCCTTTTTTTTCACCCGAGTACCACCTTAATTACATTAGGACATGGTCGACGACACGGGCTCGAAGTGGAGGAGGGCACAATTTTTAATTTTTAAAAAAAGTCCTCCATATCTTGAATTTTCTTAATAAAAAAAAAGGTTTTTTAAAAAAAAGTTAGGGGGTACGTGCCTCCTAGTTTTAGAAGGGAATACAAATAATGAATGTAGTTGAAGGTTAAAAAAAGCAACTTAAACAATTAGTCAACTGATAATTCTCAAAAGTATATAACGTGTTTGTCAAAATAAATGTCTTATCACAGGCCCAAGTACCAAACAATATTGGGGCGATATTGTTTACAATATTGGCGCAATTTTATAAACTATATCGCGCCAATATTGCAAAGTGAACATTTTCCCAATATTGGCGCTACAATATTGCGCCTATATTGATAAGTCATTATTGGCCAATATTCGCGATACAATATTGCGCCAATATTGTAATGCCAATATTGGCCAATATTGGCAAAATGTTCACATTGAAATATTGGCGCGATAATGTTTAAAATATTCCACCAATAAATATATTAATAAATAATATCGACAATAAATAATAATATCGACAATAACAATAAAAAAATAATACTGCGCCAATAATGGGGATATAATACTGGCCAATATTGACGTAATATTGTTTACAATATTATCCCGATATATATAACTATAATAGGCTAATGTATTGAGTATTTTCGATTAAATTTTTATTATTAAAAAATCATAAAAAAAATTCTCTTCTACAAATTTTTAATAATTAAAACTTATAACAGTTTTCTTTTTTACATGATACTATAGTGCTAAGCTGCATTATTCTTTTAAGTTAAACAGGTTATAGTCAAGAAGTTGACAATATTCATAGAACACGTTTTAAGAAAAAAAATTGTAAACCATTAAATTTATTTGAAGTTATATGAAAGAGATAAAAATGAAAAAAAGAGGTATAGAGTGCTCCAAAACCATAATATAACATAATAAAATTAATGCTATTTAAATATAGGCACAAAAAGTATATATATATATATATATATATATATATATATATATATATATATATATATATATATATATATATATATATATATATATATATATATATATATATATATATATATATATATATATATATATATATATACATATATATAGATATATATATATATATATATATATATAAACTACTGTATTATACTCTCACTATCAGATAGTGGTTATTGACTTTTTTCGCCGATACTTATTTCATTGCTTGATATTGGGCGTTGTCCAATCTATTTTTTCTTCCGTAATTTCTATCAATGGCCGTCGCCAGAAAGCCGACAATTTTTTCTTTAATACTTTTGTCAGTAGTGATTTCGAATTGAACGAATACAACGATAAATGATTAAAAAATTGACGAACTACTAAACAAAACTCTAAAAAATGTTTTTTTAATATCATCACAATATAATTTTGAAATATATATTTTTTCACGTATAAATATTGTAAAATAAATAGCTTTTACTAAAATATTTGTTTATTAAAAGGAAATGGGATGATTTGTTTATTAAAAGGAAATTGATGCTGTTATTGGTATGGATATTATTAATCGTTGTGGAGGAGTGCACCAATACGATGGAAAAATTGAATTTGGTTTTGTTTCAATTCACACAAAAAAACAATTTGTTGTTATAAAGGACAAGGAATTTGACGCTTATTTTGTTGGCATGAAATAAACTGTTAAATATAAATGGAAACGAGATGAACCACAACTGAAGAACTTTGTCACGCAGTACAAAGTAAAACCCAAGTTGATACATCAATTTAACGAAGAGATGGACTAATGGGTGGAAAATGGTTGGCTGAAACCATGTAAAATAGATGAAAATAATAAAAAAGGGATTGTCCCCTTAATGGCAGTTGAACAAGAAAATAAAGGGAAGATACGACCTGTCTTGGATTTTCGCGAGTTGAACCAATACGTTAATTCACATAACGCTTCAAGTGATGCCTGCGATGAAACATTGAGGAGATGGAGAAGTTGATGACAAATTTGCACTGCTTGATCTCAGATGCGCCTACATGCAAATACACATTGATCCGGTTTTATGGAAGCATCAGAGGGTAGTCTACAAAGAGATGCAATACCACCTTACACGACTCTGATTTGGGTTAAATTCTGCACCAAAGATTATGTCGTCAATCTTAGGCAAAGTGCTAAGTCTTGATGCAGGTATTGGTGAAGCAACTGACCATTATATCGACGACATAATCGTTGATTTAAAAAAGACATCGGTTGAAAATGTCGTAAATCATTTGGAACGGTATGGTTTGTTAACAAAAGAGCCGGAAGAATGCGATGGTGCACGAGTTTTGGGTTTGCAAATATTCAGAAACAATAAAAAAGTGCTTTGTTGGAAACCCGGCAATATCATTCCAAAGTCAGAAGACATCAAAAATGAAAAAATTACACGTCGGAGATTGTATTCAATATGTGGTCACTTGATTGGACACTATCCAATTGGAAACTGGCTCAGAATTGCCTGCAGTTTTACAAAACGTTATAGTCAAGGAGATGCTTGGGATGACCTAATAGGAGATCAAGCACAGTGATGGTTGGTCGAAATATTGCGCCGTTTGGAAGCTAGTGATCCTGTAAAAGGGACGTGGAATGCTGATGGTATTCAAAATGGAGCAATATTGTGGTGTGATACTGGTAGTATTGCAATGGGTGTTGCAATCGAATATAACGGCGTAATAGTTGAGGATGCAACATGACTAAGAAGTATAAATGATGTCATGCATATTAATATGGCTGAATTAGATGCTGTGGTGCGTGGAATAAACCTAGCTGTTAAGTGTGACATCGAGAACCTATCGATATTTACCGACTCGGTAACTGTTCATGGATGGTTAAAAAGTGTGCTGACTGAAAGTCATAGGGTTCGGTCAAATGGACTATCAGAAATGCTAATCAAACAAAGACTTTCATTATTGCGTAATTTAATAAAGGAATACAGTATGAACATCATGGTGAAGTGGGTTCCGTCTTCTAAAAACAAAGCAGATGTATTAACAAGAGTTTCAAAAAAGTGGTTAAATGAAGTTTCACGAAAAAAAGTTAAAGAATTATGTGGAGTAAATATTGCCGATGAAATGTCACTCGAAACATCATTTTGGCGTTAATCGAACAATGTTTACAGTACAACAAAGAATCCCGCAAGTTTCGAGACAAGACGTTGAAGACTGTGTGCGCAAATGTCGTCAATGTAGTTCAAATGATCCAGCACCAATAAAATGGGAACATGGAGTGCTAGATGTACCAGATACATGGTATCGTATTGCATGTGACGTAATTCACTATAAAGGATCACCGTACTTAACAATGATTGACTCTGGACCAAGTCGATTCGCAGTATGGAGAAAGATGCTACACAAAGATACTAAGAGTATATTAATTCAATTGGATTCCGTATTTAGGGAGCATGGCCCGCCACACGAACTATTGATGGACAATGGAGCTGTGTTTAGATCAAATAGCTGTCAAACATGAGAGCAAAATAGTGTGTACAAAAGATATATAGATGTGCATATAGGCCATCAGGAAATGGAAGCGTGGAGCGTAACCACCGCACAGTAAAACGCACATCTGCGAGGGCACAGATATGTCCGTTACAAGCGGTATTTTAGTATAATGCAACACCAATAATTGGAATGCAAGAAGACTCTACACCTGCTTCTCTAAAAAATACTTCTGAATCTGAAGTACGTCTGAATCATATGTACTAAAAAATAAGTACGTCTGAATCATATGGTGAGAAAGTTTCAAGAATGAATAGTGTTGAAGAAAATGAAAGCGACGAAAGTGAGTTCGACGATTAACATATTGCAAAAGACAAGGAAGTTGCAGAGTCAGTTGATGAAGAGTCAGTTGCTGACGAAGAAAATGACGGTATTGAAGTCATGGATAATTTATTACCGTTGCTCAGACGTTCGACTAGAGAACGGAGAAGACCGACATATTTAAATGACTATTTGCCTTAAAAACTTAGTTCTTGGGGAGGTGTTAATAGCTAATTTGTAAACGTTATTATAATTTAATTGCGTTTACAAATCCTTAGTGTAAATATATCGTAATTTCTTTTTTACTTTTGTTTGTACATAATTATCCCAAGGGAGCTTTTGTTGTTTACGACAAATGTATAAAAGTTGTAAATAGTACGAAAAAAGATAGAGTTCTTAAAAAGTAAAGATAGTTGTCGTTACTATCTTTACTTTTTAAGTTTAATGGTTCCTCTTATATGTATGTGTTAAACGGGTTTCTATAATGTGATATTCCTAATAAAATATGACATTATGGAAGAGTAAAAGCAATTGATTATAAATAGATATAATTCCAGAGATCAACCTTTTTTGCAGATCAAGACTGATTTTTTTTATAAAACTTTTATAATGTAACACTATGAAGAATACCATTCAGAATTTCATACAGGTTTGTGAGCTTCTCCTACCCTTGGCCACAATTACACAGTAGAATAAAATTCACCAAGATAGGTTGTATTCGCCATAGCAATAAGCTGTGGTGAATACACCCTACAGATGTACAGATATCTGAAATTAGTAGCCATTGCTACACAAATCACATTGCTAATTGGGCATAAAAGATGAAAATTACAATAAAATGTAATAGACATTTATATAAAACATTCTCATATACAACGTAATTATAATCAATCACGTATCATACTGTATCATTTGTTTGTATGTTTCATATGAATGTATCATACATTTTAAAAATTAGAAAATTTAATAGTACATGGTACTGTTTCCAAAAACTATTAACTAATATCAGTTCACTGATATATACTATTGATTCATAAGGTTTCTTTATTCTATATTTTTTCTTCGAGGTGTAGAAGATTTTTTTTTTTTTTTCAATAAATTGAAAGAGATGGTCAAGCAAAGCTCAGATGGAAACACTTAACCCTAAAACACTTAAGATTTCTTCAATCTTTGAGAAACTGATAAACAATCTCATCAGTGTCACTTTTTTGTAACCTGCAACCTTTAAGCTGGAGGCACAGATAATTCCGCTCTAAACCAGTCTCATAACTGTAAAAAAATATATGAAGAAGAGATGAAACCATACTAAACAATCAACATTTACAATAAGACAATATTGAAAATAAAACAAAAACAATATTGTAAATAAGACAATTACCAAAATAAAACAAAAATTCTTATTTTCAGCTGCTTTCAGTTACTTTTAAAAGCGTGATTTCACGTATCGCAGCCTAAAGGCAAGATGCTTGCAAGTGATTTAACCAATACACCAAATTTTCATTGATCTGCCATGAAAAACAGGTTACATTCATGGCACACATATTGTTTTTTCATTGAAAAATTCAGCCAGAGCAAATTTTGTAAACTTTATTGTCACCTTCAGTTTAACGGTACAACAGCTAAAAAAATTATAAAAAATAAATTTATGATATAAAAAGACTTCAGATTAACTTTTTTTTTCAGATAATTTTTTTTTTTAACTGAAAATATTAGTCTAAAAATTATTGAGTTTCATTTCTTAATATTAAATGTAATCGCTTTTTATTTTAAGTAAAGTTTGATTATTGGTTAGTGAAAAAACGTGAATTTTAAAGTTTGCGTGGTTTGGAAAGGTTTCCATAATAATATTTTCTTATTTAAATATGACATTAAGGTTTAAGAGATTACAAGATTCAAATTAGCATGAGATTAAGATCTCATGCTTAATTGAATGAGTTAGCCAGAGTTTTCTCAGTTATGGAACACTGACAAAGTGTTTTTAATATACAACACTAAAAAAACATAAATTTTTTTTGGTGTTTAATTAATTTAAAATTTAATTTCATATTAATTTTATTTCTACAATATATATATATATATATATATATATATATATATATATATATATATATATATATATATATATATATATATATATATATATATTTATATATATATATATATATATATAAATTACACTCTATAATAAAAAAAAAAGAGTTTGTTTACTAGCATAGTGCAGTAAACATACAGTGAATTGTATAACTTTACTATTTAAGATTTAAAAAAATGATAAACAGCATTTGTTATATAAGTATTAGGGTTGGTTTCATTAAAATATGATATGCCAACAAACTTGACATTGGAGGATTTTAAAGTATCTTTAGGCAAATAACTATTATACGAATTTTGATATAATTATTGTTATTATTATTGCTGTTAATACTATTATTATTTTCTAAGGTTATAATTTTACAAATAGAATAATTAGGTATATAAAAAAGCCTATCAACCTTTTGTTCTATTGGATCTAATTATGTCACTCTAATTTTTTATATGCAATTGTACATTTGATGAACCCAATATGCATCTAGATGTTTTCTTAAACGTTATGACAGATGTTGAACACTATTTCAGATGGTAGAGTGTTCTACAAAATTGGGAATTGCATACTAGAAAAGTTTTTCCGGACATCTGTCTTACAAAACATTTTTTCAATTCATAAGCATGATAGCAGGTTGTTAAGTTGGAATTAGTCATAATGGAGGAATAAATACTAACTAAATATATAATCTATATATTAATTTTAAGAAGTGGCCATATTAAAACGTGTGCTATTACAACTCAGATTAAATACTTAATGGTCTGTAATTACAATAATGAATATAACAGCCATGCAGATGACATCACTCTGACACAGGTGTTGATAGATAAAATACTGAATGGTTTTTAATGAGGAAACAAAAGGGTTGCAACTACAATTATAAAGGTTGTGAATTCATTTGTAAGTTTCTAGCATGTTATTACGTAAGAAGCTATAACTCATGCTAGTTAAATTTAGTCTCAGCAGTCTTTGGTTGTAAGTAAGTCCAGTCTGGCCAAAAACAAATTTACTAAACTTGCATAGAACATTTTAAATTAATTGCTGATCTTTTTAAAGCCTATGATAGTAGACAGAGCTGCAAGAATCAAGGTGAGAAAGAACAAGGAAAATAAACAAACTACAAATTTCAAGATATTGAGATTAACAAATGATTTTTTGATCATAGTTTTGCCCAGTTTGTTATAATATCTATACTTTTTTGCAGGTTATTGTAAATGAGCTATCAAAAAGCAAACTGTATAACTTAGTATCATCTGTAACTACAGATACAGCATCTAAAACCAAATCAGAAAAATCATTAATATATACCATAAAAGTAAATAATGGGGGACCCCCACTATTTACTATTATCCATTCTGATTATGTACCACCAACTCTAATGCCATATATATGTATGATATGTATATATATATATATATATATATATATATATATATATATATATATATATATATATATATATATATATATATACATATATATATATATATATACATACATATATATATATATATATATATATATATATATATATATATATATATATATATATATATATATATATTATATATATATATACACTATATATACACTATATATATATATATATATATATATATATATATATATATATATATATATATATATATATATATATATATATATATATATATATATATATATATATATGTATATATATATATATATATATATATATATATATATAATATATACATATATATATATATATATATATATATATATTTATATATATATATATTATATATATATATATATATATATATATATATATATATATATATATATATATATATATATATATATATATATATATATATATATATATATATATATATATATACACACTGTGTCAAAAAAGTTTTTATTTACCTATCTTGCACATTTTAAAAATGCAATAAACTTTTATTCAGCAAAAATGTTAGCATGATATTAACTAAATTATATCATTTAAACATTTAAGAAATATTGTACAAAGAAAATTTTTTAAAGTAATGAGTAAAAAATAAAATACAGCATTTCGGAATTAAAGATAGACATTTTTGTCCCAAAAAAGTTTTCATCCACTTTACAAAAATCAAATAAAATTATTATTCGAACTCAATTTGTTAGTGTTTTAATAACTTGTGTTTCCACCACGAGCTTTTATTACTTCGTGTAGTCTGTTTTTCATAGAATCAACTAATTTTTTGATAATTTCTGGAGTGATTAAGCCCCACTCTTTCATAATTACTAATTGTAGTTGTTGTTTATTCCTTACATCGTGGGTGCTTATTCTTCTACCTAATTCATCCCACAGGTGTTCGATAGGATTCAAATCTGGAGATTGTGGGGGTGTATGAAGTTGCTTAGCTATTTTAAATATAAGCCATTCCTTGACACGTTTAGCTCTATGTTTTGGATCGTTATCTTGCTGAAAAATAAATGACCTAGTAAGTCCCAATTTGTAGGCACTTTCTTCCAGATTATTTTTTAAAATGTTTAAACACACATTTTGATCCATATTTCCATCAATGAAAACCAAGTTACATACACCAGAAGCACTCATACACCCCACACTAAAAAACTTCCTCCACCATGCTTCACTGTTGGACACAAGTTTTGTTTTTTAAATGCTTCATTTGGTCTTCTCCAAACTTTAACTCTTCCATTTGATGAAAACAAATTAAATTTTGACTCATCGCTAAAAAGGACCATTTCCCAGAATGTCTGTGGTTCATTAATATAAAGTTTTGCAAAGTGTAGTGGTTTGGCTTTGTTGACTTTGCTAATGAAGGGCTGTTTCAATGGTAATCTAGGTCTTTTTAAGGTTATTCTCACAGTTTCAGGGTCCATATTTAAATTGTAATCATTTTGCAGCATTCCAGCAAGTTTCGGAGCACTTATTTTAGGATTTTGGATAACTGTTATTAAAATAGCTCGTCGATGCAATACTATAACTTTATTTGGACGTCCAGTTCGTGGCTTATCAGCAATTTTTTTGGTGGTTTGGTATTTCTTGATAATTGACTGCACAGTTGCACGTGATTTCTTTACTATTTCTCCTATTTTTCGCTGTGATTTTCCCTCCTTCCATAGTCTAACAATAAGCGATCTATTTTCCTCTGCAACTCTCATTTTTTTTTAATAATCTAAACCAAATAAAAAATATAAAAAAATTCATATAGAGAAAAAATAATACAAAAATCTTACTAAATCTAATTTATATTTTAAGAATGTTACTTTAATACTGATTTAGTAACAAATTGAGGTTGGAGTGCAGGGTGGATGAAAACTTTTTTGGCGCTAAAACGCACATTATTTAGTTTAAAATGTCGTATTTTATTTTTTATTTATTATTTTGTAAAATCTTTTTATATAATACTTCTTGAATGGTTAACTGATATAATTTAGTTAAAATTATACCTATATCTTTGCTGAATAAAAAGTTATCACGTCTGAAAAATGTACAGAATAGGTGGATGAAAACTTTTTTGACAGAATGTATATATATATATATATATATATATATATATATATATATATATATATATATATATATATATATATATATATATATATATATATATATATATATATATATATATATATATCAATAATAATGACATATTTATTTCTTAAATGGATATCTTTAACAAAATAAATTGACTATAAAACTTATATTTTATAGATGAAATCTTCTCAAAGTCTTTTCATTTAAGAGTAAACTTACTATTTTAATCTTGATACTTAAGTATAGCAATATTTTTCTATTTCTTCTCGTGATGCAATATGTTTTAAATCAATTACAACCACTTTTTCTCGTAATTCAATCCGTAAATGTTGAATAAAAGAATATCATTATTTTTACCACTTCTTCTCGTGATAAAATCTGTTTCAAAATAAATTACCAACACTTCTTCTCCTGATTCACTCTGTAAATGTTGAATTAAAAATACTTTTCCTACCTCTTCTCTTTTCATAACTTAAAATTTTTATTTTAAACACTTATTTGTTTTTGTAAAAAAATTAATCACAAAAGGATGTCTGTTTATGTAAAAAGATGCTTTTATTTACATTTAAACACATTTAACAAAACCACTGATCTCAAAATATAATATTTTGAGATCAGTGAACAAAATTAAAGGACATAGTGAATATTCCATAATGTTACGCATGCGTTCCAATATGTAAAAATGTCACCATTGGCCGTGTAATATAAAGCCAATATGGGCAAACAATATTTGGCATATCGACATTAGCAAATCAACAATGGGATAACATTGGCGAAATATTGTTTGCCAATATTGGTAAGACAATATTGGCGTAATATTGCTTGACAATATTGGCGCAATATCGGATATCTTGGCCAAGATTAGCCAAGATACCCAATAGGGTATAGTGAATTTCATATGTTTTAGAAAAAAATAAAATTAAAGCTTAGGAAAAAGTGTATTCTTATGTAAATTTAAATTTTAAGGTAGGTTTGCAATCGATAACTTTTTGATTAGAAAACGTTTTGATACCTAAATTTTCATATTTAGACATTTTTAAAATTAAATATACTCAAATTATTATAAAGTAAATTTAATCCGGTTTTATGTTTAGTCTCTCATAATAGCGCAATGCCAAATCAATTTTTAAAGAAATTCTGACTTAGTTATTCGCCTTAAAAAAAATCATAACAAATTGTAGTCTGTAAATATTTTATTCGCTATATCATCGAGTTATTCATAAATGTCGAAAATTAAGACTAGGTATTCATCCACCACTAGAATTTCTGAGTTTATTGGACCTGGAAAAGATTTTATTCATAGTATGCTGCCTACAAACAGACCAGTTAATCAAAAAATAATTTTTTTAAAAGAACAATAAAGCATAATATGCAATATACACCAAAATAAATATTCTAACAAAGATCTTGCTAGCGATCTAATTCCACTTGTTCTTGCTCAATGGAAAAAAGCAAATATTTTATTTCAACAACCAGTTATTATTGGGGAGAAATCACTTTATTATAGAATAAAAACACATTGAGAGAAAGTAAAAAACGTTGCATGGGGAAGAACTAAGGTAAAAGTAAAAGAAGAGCTTATATTGAAGTTAGATAAACTAATGGACCTCATAACATGTCCTTACACAATACTTCTATGCGAGCATGATCTGTCTGGGTGTTCTTCCCCCAAAAATTGTAAAAATAAAGCACACATGAATTGCACCTGTATTTATTCTAAAAAAACTCCGAATATAGAGCTCAGGTGGTTATACAGTCAAAGAAATAAGACAGGTTAAAAATTTGACATGCCGATGGGACATGCTGATAAGATTAAGGCAATGAAACTAATAAAAAAGTATAAGAAAAAAGTCAGCGATGAAGAAGCTTATGTAAAAAGAATTAAAAAATACAGGAGGAACAAGCATTCTTCGAGGTAAATATAACTTCTTAATAATAAATATTTTCTTTTTTCATATAATAATAGTAATAATCACAATAATGTATATATATATATATATATACATATATATATATATATATATATATACATATATATATATATATATATATATATATATATATATATATATATATATATATATATATATATATATATATATATATATATATATATATATTCAACCCTCGGAATTAGGAAAATTGAGGTCGGCAATAATTTGCCAACCTCAATCTTTTAAAGGTCGGCATCAGGTCGGCAAATACCATAAAACATCGAAACGATGCATGCCTCATTCGAATGAATGAGGCATGCATCTTCATTCGAATTGCTTATGCATTCGAATGAAGATGCATTATGCATGCTTCGTTACTTATTCGAATGGGTATACATGCCTCATTCGAATGAATTATTTTTGCGTCACCTTATAGAAGGCATTAATGGACCAACATCATGTAGTACTGGATTTGTAGGTCCTGTTGTAAAATTTTTCCTGATGTTAACAAAATGAAGTATAATCCTCAATTTAAAGCTCTTCCAAATGGAAAGAGTTTTGTCGACATTCCAGAAACAATTTCGAAAAAAATGTCAACAGATCAAAAACAATATACCAATCTTAACTGTTTTACATAGCTTGTTTCAAGCAGTAAAAATTGATATATTGTCACCTAATCTTAGAGAAATTCAATGTGGCCTCTTAAGTCATGCCAGATGGCTTACTACTGGCATGAGAATAGTCTTTATGTGGACAAGGAAACACAACTTAAATGATCAAAATTCGCAAAATCTAGAGCTACTTGTCGTATTTTGTTTACAATTTTACTTTAAAGATCTTTTTGACATAAAGGTCAAAGACAGACTTGAAGATGCTTCCTATCACATTCTGTCTCAATTGAGAATTCTTAGAACGCAACCTGATAAAGTAAAAGAAATTGTGACTCCCTAAATCCAATTAGGAGCTTGGTATGCGAATCATGAAAGTATTCTAATCTCTTTTTATTTAGTAATAATGCAGAAGATTGCAGTTTTGCAGTTGATCGAATTTTGAAACTCAGGGTTAATGATATCCTTGGAGATATGCGAATCAGAACAAGAAAAACACCTAAACTTAACTTTGCAGCAATTACTCTTTAAGAGCTAGTTAAATCGGAAAATAGTGTTGTACAAGAACCTGTTTTTACTTGTTCGCTCACCAGAGATAAGTTGTTATTACTAAGATACCTTTACTAAGATACCTTTAATAACTCCTTTGCTTAAAATTCATACTCAAAGTACTGAGCGTGCTGTAAAACAAGTGACAGTAGCATCCATGCCAGTAGTTGGACCAGATGCAAGAGATGGGTATATTAGAGCTAGAACTCAACATAGAGAGTTGCTACCTGTTTTTAAAACAAAGAAAGAAGTTTTATTAAATTTTTTTTTAATAGTGTTTTAGTAGTTCTATCAAAATATTGTTGGGGTAAGATAGGGGCATAAACTACCTGTTTTTTGGTGAAAGTATCATGAACTGTAATGATCACATTTCTTAATCATTAAAGCCTCATAATATTGAAGACCCCCTCCTTCTCCCTCTAAAAAATGCAGAATCTGCACTGCAGATAGGATCCATGCAAGATAATGATTTTTAAAAGTATCAAAGAAACTTTCAACAATCTGAAAATATTATTTGCATTTTATATTCCATTGCAATGAAAAAGAAAATATAAAATACAATGAAGGACATGTGACAAATTAGATTTAACTAGTTTTTGCAATTTCTAAAAGTCTATATTTGGGTATCAAAACTTTTCCGATCAAAATCTTTTTTTAGGAACCCTCTTTAAAATTTGATTTTACATAAGAATACACCTTTTCCTAAGCTTTTAGGAAAAAAAAAAAATGTTTGCTGTACCCTAATACCCAATATCGCGCCAATATTACGCCAATATTGTTTGCTACTTGGGGGGTTATGGAATTATCAACACAAATGGGTAATAGAGTTTTGAACTACTTCGCTGAAAAAAAATTAAAATTTCCCACTGCGCTTTAATCTTAACTTATTCAAAACTGCTACTTTAGATAATATATCGGTTAAACATTATGAAATTCAGCACCTTTTAATCGTTAATTACTCAAAAAATACTTTTTAAAATTTTTTTTAATTTTATTGCACATGGAAGCTAATTTCTTATTTTTGATTGTAATGGTAATAAGTATTGGTTATCATTACTATCGGATTAAAATGCGTAAACAAATATTAAATCAAAAAAAATTTTAAGAAATTTTTCTTTAAAATCTTAGATTATCACAAATTGACATTTTAAAATGGACCAATGTTTCTCGATCATCAGTTGAATTTATTTTGCGGTAATATAAACAGACTCAATATATAGGAAGAGAACCTGGAAAGTGAAACTTGGAGGTGGAAAAAAGAAAGGATTTAAAGATAAATATAAAGCAAAATCAATCATTTGCTCCATAAAAAGGCAAATGTCAGTCGCAGAAAGATCTTGCAAGAGAATTTAAATGCTTTGATAGGAAAAGTACTTATATCTCAATAATATAATGCATATCATAAAAAGAAAACTCCAAAACAATCCATTGATGGAGAAATTAAAACAATTTGTCGTTCAAAAAACTATAAAAACTTTTAAACCAAGAAAACTTGTGCATAGTTGAAGACGATGAAAATTATTGTCAAAAGGATTTTTCACAACTGTCAGGCAGCAATATTTTTATCAGTTGAAAAGTAGATATTTTGCCAAGTTTATTCAAACTGAAAAATTTCGTCCCAAGGTCCTTATATGGCAAGCAATCTGCTCTTATGGTTTAAAAAGTACACCATACATTACTTATTAAACTTTGAACGCAGATTTATATATAGAAAGAATACTTAAAGAAACGTCTTTTACTATTTATTTAAAAGCATAAAATGCACACAACGCTTTGGCCTGATTTGGCTACAATTCACTACTCCTAGAAGTCTCTAGCATTTGTAGGAACAAAATGGCGTCGAATTTGTACCTAAGGAAGAAAATTCTCCGAATGGTCCTGAACAGCGAGCTATTAAAAGTTATTGGTCAATTATAAAAGGAATCTTATTGAAAAGCAAGAAATTAGCTACAAATAAAAAAGATTTCAAGAAAAAATAGGTACTAACCTCAAAAAAAGTAACTCAAAGCAAGATCTAGTAGATGATGTCAATTGCTCGCAAAGATATTCGGTTTCTAAGCATTCGATAAAAAAATGTAAAAAATTATTGAAATAAATAAATAATTCAATTAGCTTCACTGTGTCAAAAAATTACAAAAATCTGTTAAGTAGTTTTTGCGTAATTAATAATTAAAGGTGCTGAATTTCATGGTGTTCAACCGATAGACCACAATCCAAGTTCCACAAAAGTTAAAGACTCTTTTCACAAAACGGTAATATCATTACTCCAGTATCAAATATCAGAAAAAGTTGGATCAGATCTTAAAATTTCTACTTTGGAGAAAAAAACTATCATCAAACTTCTTATTCATACACTGAGATCTGACAAGTTTTAAGTTTTTATGAAAGACCAGAAATGGAAAACTGTTCATACGTCTGTTTAAAGAACAT